TAAATTAGGGACGGCTAGCGCAGATAGCCCTCGTGTAGCTTTGCGCGAAATTCAAAAACAAACAAATTTTTTCTTCTAAATATCCTCTGTTCCTTTGGTCAAAGTGCACTCAGGCTGATTCAATTACTTTAGAACCACGATTTTACGGAATAATACTTCTTATTATATCTTTTTCTACTGTTAGTTTTACTCTAAGATATTAAACGTTATGCCTATCACTTCTACGGTAGTTAACTTCACGCCGAACTTTTCCTTGCTCGTAACTTTACTCACTTCTGCTATTGCCTATCTGCTGTTTCCGCTCGTCTCACTCTATCTATATTGTTGCGTCAGCGAGGTCACGCGACTAGTGTCACGCCACTTCTTTCTCGAACTATCGGGAGATTACTAGATTGAGGGTAGTCTGGTATATATATAAGAGGGTGACAACGTGACGAAACAATGTGTGTGTAGGTAGTGAGTAATGGATCTGCAGTCACAGGGTATTGTTGAAGTTAACGTTCATTCGTTATAGTTTGTTATAGCGCGACTGTTGAAGTTGAGTGTATCGTAAAGTTATATTCAGAAAGAATAAACCAGTTTTATTAAGTAAGGACTTGTGTCGCTAAAGTTTCGTCGGAACGAAGTTACGGAAAGTTAATTAACAAACGGAGACGTAACAATATGTTTATCATTTAATCATCTGCCTACCTTCTTGAAATCTCTATATCCTCGACGTCAATGTATTGCACGCGATGTTCGATAGTCTCAACATCAATGGATTATAAATACAACTACCTACAATCCTCTGCTTTTAACTCTTATTATAAAAAAAATAAATAATAATAAAATATTCACTCACAAAATAAATTAATCAATAATATTTAAACTAATCAGTTGTTTATACCATTACAATAATATATAAAATTACCGCATTCTTTTCAACTGACAAGTATGATGTAGCCCCAGGAATACAACTCCCTTGTTTTGAAATGAGAGTGACCATCAGTTATGTGGGTAGCGTCTGCGTTCTGAGAGGAATGCCATTGTTGTTATTAATATATAATACCATGTCTTCTCAGTCTCAAACAAGAGAAGAAGATTTAAGATATTAAACATCTCTCCGGTAAAGGTGCCACACTATATACTCGACTTTTAACTTTGATTTTGTTGGATATAAAGATTGTTTCGATGTGTGTAACTTGTGTCAAGTTTCTTTTTTCTGCATCAAACTCAGTCAACGTTGAGTATTTGTATCTCGTATTTATGGTAAACCTACGAAGGTTATCTGCCTAACTTTGAGCTATTAACTAGAGGAAAGGCAACCAGTTAGGAGCATTCTACTCACCATCCATGCTAAGGAATTGACTGTCATTCTTATAACGAACCTACAGATTAAAGTTCCGGGAATATTTTCTGCGATTGCACAGAATTGAAAACCTGAAATCTAGAGCTTTTTCCACAGGGCCAGTCTGCGACCGTCGAACTTAATGAATTCAAATTTTTATTCCAGAATATATTTTATTGAGAACCTTCTGTTATTTTGAGGGAGAATAAAGAGGATTGAGAATGACAGTGTTTAACTCTAATACTTCTAAAATGCGCTTATCTGAAAATTTAGGAAATATTTTGGTTTCAGTACAGTATAATTGTTTTCTTTACTACTTTTACTTTAATCATATAATTCACACAGATGTAAAAGAGATTCAACAGTTAAGTAATTAAGTATCTTATTATTATCTACTTTTTTTATTTGTATTCGATATTCTACTACGCCACTGGTGCCGCTGTTGTACAATTGGCGTTTTGACAAATGTATGTTTTCTATAACAGGTTTTTTGGATACTTTACAACTTGGAAGGAAAAAATGATATGAGAGAAACGAAGATTTCCTAACATCTGAAATATTGTTTTTGTTATGAATCTGTTTGTTTGTAAATCTATGTTTGCCTAAGACACTAGGCTTAGGGTACTTGAATTTGAAAAAAAAGTTTAGAGAAGAAATGTTAATCTTTTTAGATTGAGATTAAATAAATGCACGTTTGTACTGTAGTATAAATCAATAGTCGCATTTACTGATTTAACCTAAACAACTTACTGAATAAGCTGTGGCCAGTTTTGTTAACTACGGATTACATGTTTTAGGGCTAAGATAACGCTGAAACAGTGAAAGTGATATCTATAAGTTGTATAGAATTTTTTTAAAGATAATTTACTGTATTGGAACAGTTATTGTTTACAGCAAAAATTACATTGCTTTTTCTACATTTAACTTTTAAGATGACACCATCTGTGAAAGCATGAGCATTAAAATAAATAGTAGTTATAGTGTCATAATCCCAAATTAAGCCATTTAACTTATTTTTTTGGAGAATAAATATCCACTTTTCTGTTTTCTTCTCAATTCAAGAAACACTTTTATAATTCGACCATTTAAAAATTTAAATAAATGTTTATAAATTTAATGATGCTGAAAATTTACAAACCAGATTAACAAAAACAGTTTATTTGTTTAGAAAAAGTAAAATTGTGATCTTTATTTTACTGTTAGAATTTTTAATTTTGTTTAACTTCTTTTTTAAGTTTAGGACTCAGTTTACATTCAGGAAGATGGATGACACTACAAAGCAAAAAACAGGTTCTTCTCGAAGAGAAGTGAGCATTAAAAAGCAAAAGAGAATTTTTAAAATTATTGTAATTGGTGATTCTAATGTTGGAAAAACATGCCTGACATTCAGATTCTGTGGTGGGTTATTCCCTATGAAAACAGAGGCAACAATTGGAGTTGACTTCAGAGAGAGAATTGTTGAGATTGAGGGAGAAGAACTTAAAGTAAGTAAAGTTTTGTCATTATTCTAAAACTGACTAGGTGAATGTGGCCTTTACGAAAGTATTATTCTTGTTAAATATACATCGTTTTGGTCATATGTAACTTATATTATGTTCAAATAATTAAAGGAAGTTCTATAAGTATAATACATATCTCATCTAATAATATTGCATAAAATTATCTATTCAATTACAAAGTTACAAAAATTGGTTGTACTGATATTCTTAAGGTGAGCACTCATTTATCTTGTGATACTCCTGCACTTACCTTTAACACTGTTTACCACTTTGAAGCTTGTTGTTCTAACTATGAAGTCAAACTCATCTTAATTGTGTGTCAGAATAATTGAACTGTTTTTTAGGCTTTGAATGTTTTCCAGTTCCTTTTTATAACTATCTAGTGAATGTTCTGGTATACTTCTGATAACATTTATAACAAACTTATTCATTAAAAAACATTGAAATATTGTACCCTGGATATTTCATCTATGTATTTGGAAGGATGCATAGTCTAAAATACAGTTTAAATAAATACTGAATTTAAACTTGGAAAGTGGATTGTTTTAAACAGTATTTTGGAAACACTTCATCACTTGTCATACATGCTCTCGAGTTATTTGTTTTTTTTGGCAAGGTGTGATACACAGTGTTATCAAATTACTATTAGGGAAGATACAAATTTCACTATTTACAACTGGCAAGCAACAACAATTATAATAATAAAGTATATACAAGTGTGCAATGTTGTTAAATTGTTCTTGTTCTGCAATATGTTTTCTTAATTTAAACTTTTATTTTGATATTTTTGTACATTGACAAGTGAAATGAACCACTCTCGTGGAACAAACATAGAGTAGAAGTAGTGAGAAGTTGCTACATGCCTAAAAAATTAGTAGGAAATTATCTTATTCATTGGCTGTTCACACATATAAAAACAAAAGGAAAAGTTGTAATTACTGTTTTAAATAGATTAGATAACTCCCATTACCAAATATTAGACTGTATTTTCATGAAACAGTCTTGTACTTAACTATTACAAATACTGATCAGGCCTGTAGTACTTGCAGTTCTTCTTCATTAAGAGTATAGTAAATAGAACAAACCTATATCAAGTATTGAAGGTGAAACAATATTCTATCAATGCTGATCTGGTATGATTCTATTCTTCAAAATTTGAGCAATTCTAATGTAACTTACTGGTCCAGTCTCCTTGAATCCTGATTACCTTATCGTTGTAACAAAGAGAAAAACTTCATTTTAGCATGGTACCACTACATTTAAAATATTTGTACAACTTTGTGTTATAAACTATACGTGTTCATAAAGGCCTGTAAGTTAATCAATAGCTCCGGCACTTGAAATCTGTTTAATTAAACTAGAAAATGCTGTAACATTCATATATTAAACCCTTACACTGAATTTTCACTCCTTTCCTCTAGCCATTATTTTAAACTTTTCATCATACATTTTAATTTGGCACAGTTTTAAGAAAATATATGAACACTATGTTTACAGTATGCAGTAAGAAGTATTAATTGAATAAATGAAATTGGCCATGTTCGAAAAAGCTTGTTTACTTTTATAGAATATTCTGCTTCGTTATGTTATGCATGTGCTTGAAAATGCATTACACTGTTTGTAGCACTTTTCACTTAAAGAAAAATACAGTATCCAACTAAAAACTTGGATGTAATATAAAGGAAAAAAATGAGAAAAACATAGAAATCAATATATTTCTTTTGATTTAATTTTTTATTATTTCTGTTTAATATATTCTTTACTTGGATCATGATATAGTTAACTACAGTACTTTTTCCAGTGTTTTTTTCTCCTACAGTAATAGTTCTGATAAAATAATATTTAATTAAAATGTATTCATTTTTAGTATGACTAGAAGTGGGAACCAAGATATATAACAAAACCTTATTACTGCCATATGATTATACCAGTATCATGACATTTTACTGCCAACATATGACTGCCGCAACATTTTCTTGCCATAGTAAATGACTGCCGGTGCATTTTACTGATGGCAAACAATTTCCTAGCACAGTGAATGACTTCAATCTTAAAAATTACAGTGAACTAATAAACTATTGCACTAAACTTGATTAAAAATAAAATAGAATAATAAAGTAATTGAATAAGTTGCTGGGAAAAAGGCTATCACTATACAGCAAGTATGGGCACTATTATTCGTGTTTATACGGGTACAAATTTTATGATGTAATTTTTTGTGTTCAAGGTTTTTTGATATTATAAAGGTCGATTTCATAATATTCCAATAATATAATTTCTATACATTCAGAAAATCTTAAAATGAAGTAATTAATTGCTCCATCCCTTTGCCGGCAGGTGTCTCTGTACAGTGGTACTAAGCTACAAATTTTTGCCCAATAATTGGAGAGTTGTATTAAAAAATAATTTCATGCTAGTTGAAAAATGTTAAAACACTTGCATCTATAAAAAAGTATGCATTTGTATGTGCTATATTTAAGGTATATTAAAATGCTACTGCATCATATAACTAGTATCCAAATAATAGTTTTAGGTAGCAAAATGCTACCAGATATATGTTAACTTCAAACCCTGAACTAATACATAACTTGGGTTATTTGATCTCTGTGTTTCAGCTCCTTCACAGCTTACACTCTTCCTTTGTCCCTGATTAAAATAGGGCCATCTGTTTACTTTTATTTTTGTAGTAAACTTTTCATGTATGCAATTAAAACTTTAAGTATGATGTTGTTTGATGTTTATAATTTAAAGCTAGGTAATCCTGGCATCATAAATAGCTTGTTCTTGAGATATAATTGTCACAGAAGTTTGTTATCATGTGGTTTAAACATCAAAAGAATAATATTACTAGTAGAATTACAAATGTTTTAAGTAATATGTTTCCTAGTCCTACTTATTATATTATACTATCTAGTTAGTGTTTTCAAATCAAGTAGTATATTGTTCAAAATAATGTGTGACCTAAGAAATGGCAATATGAAATATTATCATTAGAAATTTTTAGGTATATATCATCAGTTATAGTTACAAATAAAACTGTATACAAGTAGTATACATTTACAGTAATTTATTAGACCATACCTAACTAATTAGATATTACTTTGTATGCTAAGTAGTACAAGTGTACTGTATAATGAATATAATTTTTACTACAGCTACAACTTTGGGACACTGCAGGCCAGGAAAGATTTAGAAAGAGCATGGTTCAACATTATTATCGCAATGTTCATGCTGTTGTATTTGTCTATGATGTTACTAAGATAGTTTCATTTGAAAGCTTATCACATTGGATAGAAGAGTGTGATCAATATCAATTAACTACAACCATTCCACGTGTCATTGTTGGTAATAAATGCGATTGCACAGATAGCATTTCTGTTAACACAAATATGGCTCAGAAATTTGCTGACCTCCATAACATGCCTCTTTTTGAGACTTCAGCAAAAGATGACAGTGAAGCAGACCATGTGGAAGCGATCTTTATGACAATAGCTCACAAGCTGAAAAATTCCAAACCAATGATGTCCCCACTATTGCACAAACAGGGTACACTTGATGGCACTGTTTCACAGTCTAGTGGTGTTATTTCTGTTGGAAAATCTCATGCTAGAGAGGCAAAAAAAAGTAACTCAGTGGATGAGAATGAATTATGGTGTGCTTGTTGAAATAGTATATTATTTCATAAGTCAGCATTCTATTGATCTATTACCATAAACACTTATTGGAAACAGTGAGGGCTCCTGACCTTATTTTATGGTATCTGCTATTGAAATTGTATCTTGATATATAGAGATTAATAATAGAGACACTTTTTTTTCTTCAATGAGATCACTTGGCAAAACTTTGGAAAATGTTGACTTTTTACTCTAGTAGAACTTTTTAATGCTTTAATTCCTTACAGGTAGAACAAGGCCTTTATCAAAATACTAAGCTGAAACTTGAAAACCATTAAACTGTCTGATGGAATACTTTCTGGAGGAAAGTTATCATGAATATATTTTATTATGGTGAAATGAAATTTCTTCAAGTTCTGGTAACTAAATTGTTAATGATATTGTTATGTGTTTAATATATTTGTCACTGTTTTCTGTGTGAGATTGTGCACTACCTTTATTCTCAACAGAGGAATAAAGAAAAGCCTGGTCATTCCAGTTTTTTAAACTGTCTACAAAAGTAATTTTTTTTGTCTACTTTCAGTGAAGTAGGAACTATAGAAGGAAAGTTTTTTGTATTGGATGAACTTTGAGTTTCATAACCAAGACTGACAAATCCTCTTAAATAAAATATGTTTAGCAAACAAGAGTCATGGCTTTGTAGTCTGTCAAGGATTTCTAATCCAGAACCTGAGAATAAGTTGACTTCCAAATAAATGAAATAAGAAGTAGAAATAATGATTTTGCTTTTGAGAAGCACTTGACAAGATATAAGATGAAGTTTTGTGTAAATTGGCATATCAGAGTAGTTGAAAAGAAAATGAAAAAAGCTACTAAACCTCCTTAATCCTTGCATTACCAAGATATCAAATACATGTACTTATATAACTAACATTGGTACATCTTCTGTAAGCCTATTTTTATTATCCATGGAACTGTTATTTAAGTTTGGTGAATTATAGTTCTTATAAAGAATTTGTAAAATTTTTTAATAGGAAAATGTTATCTGTGTGTATACATTGTATATATATATATATATATATATATATCAATATTAGTAATCAAAGGATATGATAAAATCAACTTTTCTTTGACTTTGATAAAAATACACTGCAACTGAATCACTTACTTTAGTGGGTTTAGAAACACTGCTACAATAAAGAGCATGGTTTAAGAAAGTAAATAACACTAGTTACAATGGTAATAAAATCTAGGAAAACTTTGATTTGACACCTAGATTTTATTACCATTGTATCTAGTGTTTTTTACATAAACTTTGTCTTGCATCTTTTGTGCATTTTTTTATATATATTTTTTGTGTTTGTATATGTAATAAGAAGCAGTTTACTAGCAAAGCTGACTTGTCTTCCACACAAAACTAGTATTAATGATGAAAAGCAGGGTGACTGACACAAAACAATATATGTGTTGGAAACAATAAAATGATATTGAAATTATATTGTTATTTTTTAAAAAAGAAATGACAAAGACTTGCAGACTCAAATTTTTGAAAACAATTTGTAAAAAATTGTGATGAGATACTGCATACAGAATGAATTAGATAACTCACATGTAAGTACTACTACACATTTAAACATCTCTGCCACTGGCTACTCAATGTTAACACACACACACACACACACACACACACACATATAACAGTATAAATACAATGATTAAGACTAGTGTAGGAGTTAAGCATTTGCAGTTTGTTAGCTGTAATGGGTGCAAGGAGTGGGTTTTAGTTTGGAACTCATGACTGGAATGTACTTTTAAAGAAGCTAGTAATGAAGATGTACAATTTTTATGTTGAGTTTGTAGGTTGGAGGAAAGTTAGAGGCAAACATGATTAAAGTAGGTGCAATAGATAAAGAGAAGTGTTGATTGTGGGAAATGGCAGCAAGATTTCAGGAGGAGCTTAAGTTTTTACCTTCAAGGGATACATCAGCTAACAATGACTAAGAAAGTTAGAAAGAGTACTGTTAGGGCTGAAAGTGGTGAATTTAGTTATAATGAGCCTATTCTGTTGAGAAACAAATTTCAGCCCTTGGCTTATGCAGCTGGGGAACTACTGGAGGGAAGGAAAACAAAAGTATCAGAGAAGGATGTGGATGATAAAGAGGTTGTAGTTATAGGTGATTCCTTGATAAGGCATGTGGATATAATATTCTGTGGGGAAAATAAGGAGAAAAGAATCAGGGCACAGGTGGAGGATATAACTGACAGAGCAAGAGAAATAACAAAGGGGACTAGCAAAGATGCAGTTTTAGTAATGCATGTAGAGGCTAATGATGTAGGGAAAGGTAGGTCAGAGGAGCTAATTAATAAGTATAAGGGGTTGATAAAGGCATTTAAAGAAAATGGCCATAACTTTAATTTTGTCAGGGATACTGCCCAGAATTAACTGTGGGGATGAAGTTATAAGTAGGTCATTAGGGCTAAATGCTAGGCTTATGTTAAATAGGTAAGGATGAGCAGATTGGCTGATTGAGCTTGTGGGAACAGTTCAGTTGGAGAAGAGAGCTTTTTGCAATGGATGGTTTACATTTAAATAGAGTAGGGGCTGGCTCGTTTGCTAAGGCTATTAACTCAGATGTAACGGAAGTTTTAAACTAGGACTAGACAGTGGTGAGGGCCAGGAAAAACTGAATGCAAAAAAGAATAAGAGGCAGAGAAAAGTTTAGCATAGGAAATGAGTATAGAAGTAGTTATAGGGATAGGCTTAATTGTTACTATTGTAATGCTAGAAGTATAAGAAATAAAATAGATGACTTTAGAGCACTGGTAGGATTGGAGGGTTTTGATACAATGGGAATAACTGAAACATGGTTAAACATAGATGATTTTAATGACAGAATTTTATTTGAAATACAGGGTTACAGGCTATTTAATAAGGTTAGAGTATTAAAGAGGGGAGGAGGGATGGCTTTTTATGTAAAATGTAAGTTACATCCTGTTTAAGTTGAAGATATCAAAGATAATAGCAAAGAGATTGAATCCATGTGGATTTCTATAAGTGGATATAAAAGGAAAAGGCTTTTAGTGGGAATTTGTTACAGATGATACTGATGAAATTAGTGAGAAACTTTACAATGAGATTAAGATTTCAGCTGTTAATGAAGTCATGATTATGGGTGATTTTAATTTCAGGCATATAGATTTGGAAACACTAGAGTCAAAACATGAGGGAGAAAGGTTTCTAGAAACTGTTCAAGAT